TTCAAGAATGAAGAAAGTAGATAATTTAAAAATGATAATCCACGTTGAATTTAAACGGATTGTGATTTAATTTATGGCCAGGCTGATAAGCTCAAAACATTGTCTTTATCACAGTCCTCCCCAGTTTCAAAACCTATTTATGGAATTCTGCAGATTAACTAATAAACTAATATCCTCACGAACACGAAGCATAAATTCTTCACAAAATTTTAGCAAACTAAATTCAACAATATATAAAAAGGATAACACACCATGACTAAGTCAAGCTTACTCCAGAATACAAGGTTGGTTAAACATTCAAAATATAATCAATAGTCCATTCAATGGGGAAAGAATACTCTTTTCAATAAACAGTGCTTGACAACTGGGTTTCCACATGCAGAGGAATGAAGCTGGACCCCTACCTCACATCATATATGAAAATTGACTAAAAAATGGATCAATGACCTCAATATAAGAGCTAAAATCATAAAACTCTTAGAAGAAACATAGGAGTAAAACTTCAGGACCTTGTTTTTAACAACAGATTTTCAGATACAACACCAAAAGCCATGTAACAGAAGAAAAAATAAACTTTACCAAAATTAAAAATTTGTGCATCAAAGGACTTTATCAAGAAAGTGAAGACACTCTACAAAACAGGAGAAAATATATGGAAGTCATATATCTGATTAGAGTTTAATATCTAGAACATATAAATAACTCTTACAATTCAACAACAAAATGACAATCAATTTAAAAAATGGGCAAAGGATCTGAATAGACATTTCTTTAAAGAAGATATTCAGATGGCCAATAAGCACATGAAAAGCTGCCCAACATCATTAGTCATTAGAAAAATGCAGATTAAAACCACAATCAGATACCACTTCATACCCAGTAGAATGACTTTTATAAAAAAAAAAAAAAAAGGAAAATCAGTGTTAGTAAGGATGTGGAAAAATTGGAATACTTGTGCATTGCTGGTGGGAATGTAAAATGGTGCAGCCACTATGGAAGAGTTTGTCAGTTCCTCAAAACATTAAACACAGAATTACCATATGACGTAGTAATTTCACTCCTAGGTATATACCCAGAAGAAGTGAAAGCAGGGACTCAAAGAGATACTTGTATACCAATGTTATGTCAAAAAGGTAGAAACAACCCAAGTGTCCATCAACAAACGAACAGATAAATAAAATGCATATACATACAGTGGAATATTATTCAGCCATAAAAAATGAAGTTCTGATACATGCCATGACCTGGATGATCCTTGAAAACCTTATGCTGAATGAAGTAAATCAGACATAAATGTATGATCCCACTTATATGAAATATTAAAATAGGCAAATGCATAGAGACAGAAAGTAGATTCGCAGTTACCAGGGGCTAGAGGAAGGGGAGAATGGAGAGTTATGGCTTAATGGGAAAGAATTTCTGTTTGGGGTGGTGAGAAAGCTTTAGAAATTAACAGCTGTCATGTCTGTACAACACTGTGAATATAATACCACTGAACTGTACACTTACAAATGGTTAAAATGGCAAATTTTGTTGTATATATTTCACCACAATAAAAAAGAAAATACAATCAATATAATTCACCATATTAATAAACAAAAAAGAAAAACCATATGATCATCCCAGTAGATACAGAAAAAGCCTTTGACAAAATTCAAAATCCATTCACCAACAAACTAGGCATAGAAGGCAATTTCCTCCTTCTACTTGTATTGGAAAACTTTAATTAAGGAAAAAATTTTATTCTTTGCTAAATAACCATTTGATTTTAACTTTATCAAAGTTTTAATTTACAACATCTCAAATATCATTGAGCACTACTTTAAGAAGTCTAAGAGGCTAGTCTCCTTTCTGGTATGGCAGTTTAAGCTATTAGACCAATCCTTCTGCAGGTAACAAATATCAACTCTTGACAAAATATAAAAAATAACCATCTGAAGGCACTAGGAAGTGAACAAGATGTGCAGACAGATTCTGGAGGAACGTATACAGTTGGAAGGAAAGACATATGGTGAGTTCCCATCTTGGTTTTTAGCCTACGGGCAGGCTGCAGTCAGTCTCTCAGGCCTGAAGAACAGAGTGTCAGATACCCACCGAAAAACCAAAAAAACCCAAACCTGTTGTCGTCGAGTCGATTCCGACTCATAGCGACACTACAGGACAGAGCAGAACTGCCCCACAGGGTTCCCAAGGAGTGGCTGGTGGATTCGAACTTCAGACCTTTTGGTAAGCAGCCAAACTATTAACTGCTGGCACCCACACCCACTGTAAAGTGAGGAGAAATCCTGGAAAAGAGAGAGCCAGAGAGGGAGAGCCAAAAATTCTGTGTATAACCTCTGCCCAAACCTATGTCTGAGCCCTGAATCATGCCTATATGGGGCAAATTGCAAGGATAACAGAACTAATGAGATTTTAGCTGCTGCCCAAGAAACAGAGTTAACAGTTTGAGTCCAACCAAATTAATTTCTGGCACAATGGTTAAGCGCTTGGCTGCTAACTGAAAGATCAGTGGTTCAAACCCACCAGCTGCTCCGCGGGGAAAAAAGGCCTGGAGATCTGCTCCCGTAAAGATTACAGCCTCGGAAACCCTACAATGCAGCTCTACTCTGTCATTCATACAGGGCCACTACAAGACGGAATTATCTCGATGGCACACAACAGCAACAAAACAAAAACATCAGCAGTCTTCAAATGAGTATAGCAGAATCTACAGTCTCCACAAAATAATTTTCACAATGTCCAAGATACTATGCAAGTTTTTTTGTCAATACGAAGAAACAGGAAAAATGTGACCCATTCTAAATAGAAATACCAATCAACAGAGACCAAACCTGAGGTAACCCTGACTGGAATTAGCAGACAAGAACTTTAGAGCAGTTACTACTATAACTCTGTTCAATGCGTTGAAGGGAAATATGTTCATAATGAATACAAAGATAGGAAATATTAACAGAGAAATAAAAACTATGAAAAAGAAACTAATTGAAGTTCTAGAATTAAAAAATACAATACCTAAAATAAATATATCTCAAGAAAGACAGCGTAAGTCTTTCCAGTTTTTCATTTTTATTAGCAATCTGTGGCATCAATGGTCATTGTACTATCATACAACCAGAGACGTATCAGTGAAACAAAACTTAAAACTGGTGATTTTTCTTGCTTTTTCTATGTGGTTTTCAATTTCCTTGTATTTAAAATAAGAAGGCAAATTGACTGATTCATTTATTTAACAAAAATTGACAGCCCTACTAATATTTAAGATACTGATAACATGAAATTATAAGAAAAAAACAAAAAGTCTTTCTCTTCAAGGAGCAACTCATAGTCTAAGAATCCCTTCTAATAATAGAGTTCTTGAACTATTTAATGAGATGAACTTTATCTCAATAAGGCCCAAAAGGGACCCTTTATATACATTTCTCAACATGTCAACAATCCTAATATCATTATAGTATAGATTTTCTTGTAAGAAGTAATTTGACTAAACTTTATTTCCATATAATTTCTAAAAATTATACGTCAGGATTTAAAAATTTATAGTAAAATATAAAATGTGATAACTGGAATTTCAACACTTTTATTTTATTCTAATAGATCTTTAGGATATTTCTTATTTCTGAATCACTTAATATATTTTTCACACTTATAAAAAACAATGGCCATCTTTCTTTAGACTGAAAAAATGTAGAAATCACAAATTCAAGAGTCACATACTGTACAAATGATTTTCCAAAATGTTTCTGCATTAAGAAATGGGGAGAGAATATATAAAGCTATGAAGTAACACAGCAGTCTAGAGCATGGATCTGAGGAGAGAAAGAAATGGGTTTAAGATGAGAGTTTACTACCTTCTAACAATCATGACCTTAGACTGACTAGTTAATTGTTCCATCTGTAGAACACCTGTAAACCATCACAGGGTCATTGTACAGATTAAATAGATTACTATTGATGAGATAAATTTGATGTAATTCTTTAGAAAGGCATTTTGGCCTACCTTTCCTGAAATATATTCTTACGGATTATTAATAAGTACTGAATGGGGGAAAATTTTAAAAGTTTCTGTAAGTTTGAGAAACTCTGGTTTCTTTATTACAGGGCTTCTCAGTCTTTAATATGTAAATAGAGAGTGATACCTTGAGAGCTGGAACTTGACAGGGCTGCCTGGTTCTTCTGGGTCTTGCAAGATTCCCACCTTCGACAGGGTACAGTCCTACCACTTTTCTATTGCTCGTTTCAGTGGAAAATATTTCAGTTTTCCTTCTCTGACAGGTTTCCACCTTACACAGGTTCCGGCTTTCACAGGTTTCACTGTACGTTGTGAATTTCCAAGATGGGAATATTTATCATTTCTAAAACTTAATTGACCATGGTACCTCATTTTTACTGAGTATCTCAAGGGACTAGTGTTCCACTGAAATCAAATTGTGGAAACTACAAATTGGTCACTATGAACTGTTGTAAAAGTGTTTATATACTCCTAATCCAGCAGATCAATCCTTCAGTATTTTTATAATACGAAAAAAGTTAAAGCAATAAGAATGAAGACACTCTGCAGTGTTATTTAAAATAGTAAAACTCAGAGGAAATCTCAATGATAGAAGAATAAACATTAATATATCAACTTAAAGGACCATTATACAGCTACTCTAAGTAGCTAGAATAGAGACTACACCCCCATGTAGAAGACTGTTAAAATAAAAAGACAGAATCCAACTTTCTATGCATGTTAGGATTATAACAATATAAATATGTATGTATATGAACAAAGACTTAAAAGAACAGTGAAAAATAAATAAGTTCACGTTCCAGGTAGTGGGTCTTGGGTAATTCTTTTTTTTGGTTTTTTAGTTTAACTTTTATAAAATGTTGTTGAATACAATGAATAAAAACTGGTAACTGTAAAGAAAGACACAAAGGTAAGAATCTTGATTAAAACTGTTTTAATAGTTTCTTGGTAATCAATAGTTTCTTGGTAATCAATGATATTTAAACTACAGGACCATTCAAAGACTGTCAGCAAGCGAAAGAAGCTGGGCATTCAATCAGCGGGATTTATATGATTAAATCTGAAAACGGCAATGAACCTGTGCAGTTATGGTGCGAGAACAGTTTGGACCCTGGAGGTTGGACTGTTATTCAGAAAAGAACAGATGGCTCTGTCAATTTCTTCAGAAATTGGGAAAATTATAAGGTAAATCAATAATTGAAACTTGTGGGAGGTGGAGCAAAGCAGTTTTTGCAATGGTGGCCATTCTGTGCAATAAACAAGATACAGAGTTAAAAAATAACTATCCATATATTTTTCATTATCTACATTTGTCAAAAAGATAATTCTCATCTCCAGATTTAAAGTCAAAATTAAACTGTAAAAAAGGAAACTGATGAAATACTTTAAAATGCCCCCTTTCAATCTGGATGACTTACAAAATACTTTGCAAAGACTACTTTTAATTCCATTTTCTACGAAGACAACTGTTTTTTCTTTGTTGTTGTTGTTTATGCACTTGATGGTACCTACCATTAAGTGTATTTAAGCAGTAATATAAAGTATAGGACTTCAAGAAAATGACCCTCTTTCTTGGACTAGTTACCTCTGATAATCATGCCATCATGCTCTAAGGTTATGACACTAGATGCTGGTGTTGGGAAAGTGATGTACACCTATGCTTTCACGTGGCACTAGAATCAAGCAACAACAATTTTGGGAAGGCAAAGAACTGGTCGTTACTATTAATTTTGATGTTGATCATGCTAATCTTATCAGTGGTACATACTTTCACAATTTAAGGATGGCAGATGCAAGAGATAAAATTAAGATTCTTAACAAAACCTTGTTCGATCTTTCTTATTAGAAATCACATTTAATAGACTATATTAGCAATGTATTTTAGCTGATGCTTGTATCAGGTTAACAAAAAATGCTTGGCTTAATTTTTGTTTATTCTTATTTATATTTTCTAGATGGTTAATTCCCCATTTTAAACCTGTAAAGTAACACATGATTACTCACTCTCAGGTGAAATCTTATTGGCAGCTAAAAATGGGACATTAATATATCCATGTCAGAGTTGTATAAATTTCTGAACCCATAATTAGCAAAAATGGGGGCGGAGGGGGAAGAAACCCTCAACACAGTCTCCTTAAAGATACATCTCAAGTGTAAAGATCAGGTTTACCAAATCTTATATTTTGCTGTATCCCTGCAGTGTCAAATGCTTATTGAAATAGGATAATTACTCATTTTTTCAAACATTAATTTATAAATTTTCAAAGGTAAAACTTTGAAGATTACTACTTTATCTTCTTATATTTACTACTTTGACTTATAACAGAGTTAAAGAAGATAAATTGTTCTAAAGTAGATTCTCTGATTTTTATTGAATGATCATTAACAATCTGCTAGATATCCTTTTTGTTTGGTCGTGATAGGGATAGTATCCATATACTTTTAGAAAAAAAAATTTTTTTGGTGCTTTGTATGACAGAGACCAGGAACCCTTTGTAAGATCTGGGGTTTACTGATTAATGTTTTTAGTAGCTATGAATAAATTTCATTCTCTTTTGCTTTTGTTTTATTGACAGGTTTTGAAACTAGCTGTGAAAATAAATTCTGATACATTAAGAGAAAGCAAAACAAAACAAAGTGACTATGTGGGACTTATAAAGATCAGGTGACCAACTAAACTGGAAGCTTGTATCACCACTTAAATGATCAATATCTTAATGCTATCTAGCGAATGTTTAAAACATATATAAAAATGTTTAATATCTCTGCATTTATTTACATGCTCATGATCTTTGTTTATTAACAGAAAGGGTTTGGAAACACTGATGGAGAATACTGGCTTGGACTGGAAAACATCTATATGCTTAGCAATCAAGATAATTATAAGCTGCTGATTGAATTAGAAGATTGGAGTGATAAAAAAGTCTATGCAGAATATAGAAGCTTTCGTCTAGAACCTGAAAGTGAATTCTATAGACTGCGCCTGGGAACTTACCAGGGAAATGCAGGGGATTCTATGATGTGGCACAATGGTAAACAATTCACAACACTGGACAGAGATAAAGATATGTATGCAGGTGAGTAAGAACAAACTGTTGTAGGTACTGAGGATAGAGCAGTGAAAAAATTACTGTCTTTTTGGGCTTGCACTCTAAGAAGAGGAGACAAAATGATTTGTCAGGTGGCGATACATATTCCAGGGAAAGATAAAACCAAGTGAGGGAATAAGACAGTGATAGGCAGTAGCGGATGAGGTGGGTGCTATTTTACATGAGGTGGCCAGGAAAGGCTATCTAAGATGGTAACATGAAGAAAGACCTGAAGGGAGTGAGGGAGGCAAGCCATGTGGCTATATGGGGTAATGGGGTAGAAGCATTTCTTAGCAACTCTGTATCTTTCCCTTTCAATCTCGCCCTCTCTCACATACAAACACTGCTTGCATTTTATTTACTCTGCTACCCAGAAAATTAAATCCATTAAAAAAAGCATGCAGTAAGTAAGCAAAGAGCAAGATAAAAAAGGCAATTCTAGTGATCTTTCAAGGAATTAGTACTTAAGCAACAGCGACAGAAGGCAGCAAGAAACACAGCTACTAAGTAACTGAAATCAGGACCTTCAAATTAAATTGTTCCAAAGGTAGAATAAGTTTTCAATGGTTTGCAGAGTGCCACATTTAGAATAAACTTTTTTGATATCTCTATTTTTTCCTCAAAGGAAACTGTGCCCACTTTCATAAAGGAGGCTGGTGGTACAACGCCTGTGCACATTCTAATCTAAATGGAGTATGGTACAGAGGAGGCCATTACAGAAGCAAGCACCAGGATGGAATTTTTTGGGCTGAATACAGGGGTGGGTCCTACTCCTTGAGAGCAGTTCGGATGATGATCAAGCCTATTGACTGAAAAGAGACAGTTTCCAATTTAAAATGACATAAAACTCTGTATTTTCCAGCTCTTAAAAATGTAAATGTTATATGTATATTATTTCACACAACAATTTATTTCTACAGATACAGTTTTTAAAATGAATTTTACTATAAAAAGGGATCTATGAATGCTGCTTCTTCTTCCTTCAATATACTGCAGATGATTATTGTATTCATGTCCTAGTTATTTTTAAAATTATATTGACTAAATACAGGCAAAGTTTGTTTCTAAAATGTAAATACTTGCCAAAATGTAAAACAAATATTAGCGTTATTTTAAACCCAAACTGAAAACATGTTCTATATACTTAACAATTTATTTAAAAACTTTATAAGACCGCTTGAATTTCCAATGGAAAAATAGTTTTAAGACTTCAACCAAGCAGTATATTTTATTTATAAAAATACAGACAGGAAATTAGAGAGAAAACTCTAATTTTGCCAATAGAAAATACGTTTTGCATTGAATAAAAATTATTTTCAAATTGAATCTGTGCCTTTTACATAAAACAGTTAAATCTGAATTCTTGGCAATATACTCTATGCTGATTTTCCTAAAAGAGTTAAGTGACCCACTGTATTATACATACCATTTTTTAAAAACAAAAAAATGCACAAATGCATGCATTATTTAAATGGTTAAATTTATGAAAATAGAAATACACAAATGACTTTTCTCAATATTATCTCCATATTAAGTTGCTGAAGTCCAAAATCTCCTGAAATGTACTTTGTTATAAAATCAGCACAATACTAGTATTATAAAAGTTTAGAATATTTAGCAGGCCAAAGATTTTACAATCTGACTTTTAATTCTAAGCATATTTATTAACACTTCTTTTTCCTCGTCATTTACTGGTTCTTAGTATTTGAAAAAAGCCTGTCTGTTATTCAAGTCAGAAGGTTGGTCAACTTTACAGGTGTTACAGGTGGGACTAAAACAACTTCAGAAATTGTCAGATCTTTCCAATACTGAGACTCAACAGCTAAGAGCAGAATCCAGGGGTATTTGGCTAGTCCGATTTGCCAATTCCATTTTATAGTGTCTGTGACTATTGCTTAGCTTCACATTGTCTTTAACTCATCTTTGCAATCAACAACTTTATTAGCAACCTTCTGGAACAATTTCCTTCCAGCAACATGTTCACCGCTTAGAGCTGACTTCTCTTAATACATTTGTGAAGCTAAAATTTTAGAGAAATCTCATGAGAGTTTTGCTCAAGCAAAAAGAATATCCAATCAGTGAGGCAAACTGCCCATAAGAATGGTTTGATTTAAAGATAATCATTTGAATGACTCAAGTCAACCAACATGATCAATGTTTTTTATTTGCCACATCTCAAAATAAAATTTCTGGTGAAAGCAGTTAGGAGAACATCAAAAACTTACAGTGGCATTATTCTTTGTTTTACCTATGGTCATCCTGAAATGTTTTAAACGATCTGTCCTCTAACCCCAAATATGCTATTTCTAATTTCTGGGAAGAATCAGGCATCAAATTGTTAAATCTTAACTAAATAAAATTTTACCAGGGCAATCCATTTATTGATAGAAATACTACATTTCACCTAAACATCCAAAACCCTGTGAAAGACAAGTCAGAGGATTTGCAGAATTTTCCACAGAAGAGAAATATTATTAAAACTAGAATAATGTGAAAAGTCAAAACACAAATTTAGCTAAATGCTAAACTTCCTTGTCACTGGGAGCACTCTGTTCTTCCTCAAAGGCCTGTATTTGACTCTGCTCTGGATTTCCCTTAGAGCTTAAGAATAACTTGGGCAAATGAGTTCCTTGAGAGCAAGGAATAAGAGGCAGTAGTATATGATGGTTGAGTATAGGCTCTGAAGACAGAACTGCTTGGGTTTGTGGCCCAGCTCTACCATTTGCTAGCTGTGTTATCTTGGGCAATTTATATACTCTTGCCTCAGTTTTCTTATCTATAAAATGGGGATAATGATAGTACTTAACTCGTATGGTTACTATGAAGATCAAATGAGATGACATCTGTAAAGTATTTAGAATAATGCCTAACAATAGTTAAGAACTCAGTAGACTTTAGTTATCACTATTATTACTATACATCTATGCATCTTCTGTAATATCTAGCATGGTGTCTTAAATAAAGTTTAAAATCCAAGTTTTCAGGCATAAGATTAGACCAATCCATGATCTTTGACTGCAAACCTAACAGAGCTATGTCAGCTGTTATGACAGGTAGTAAAGGGTCTCGACCATAAGGAAATAAAAATAAAAATTAAGGGAAGAAGAGCCACACTAGGAATTTCAGCCTGAGAATATTATGAGAGTTTAGATCACTTGTGTGGTAGGGAAGGTCCAAACGCAAGCTACTTTGAAGGTCACCTAGGAATAAAGATGTGGTTGCCACACCTTCAATAAGATTGAGCTATAACTTTACAGCTGGTTTATAGAAGGATTCTTTATGTTCAGTTATTTTTAATAAATGCAACTAAGTTTATCCTAAAGAGGATTTAGTCTCTACTTAATAGAAGGCCATAAATGCCTTGGGCACCTGGGCTCTCTGAAAAAAACAAAAACCTGTTGCCATTGATGTCGATTCTGACTCATAGTGACCCTATGACAGACTAGAACCACTCTATAGGGTTTCCAAGGAGCGGCTAATGGATTCAAACTACCAACCTTTTGGTTAGCAGCCAGGGCTCTGGTCTCTCTGAAGAAGACTTATAAAACTTGAAATTTCAGGTGATTCCAGAATTAGACACTGTCTTGAGATTAAGTGGATACCTAAGAATATACTTATCCTCAGGATCCAAGCCTGGAAGAGTACAAAGATCTAACGTCCACCTGACACCAACAGTCATGATATGAGAATGCTAATTCTTCCAGCATTATGTTTCTTAGGACTCCTACTGGTAATAATATAATAAACACGTTGCCACTGAGTTGCAGTGGTTAAGTGCTTCACAGCTAATCAAAAGGTCGATGGTTTGAATCTACCAGCTGTCCGTGGGAGAAAGATGTGGCAGTCTACTTCTGTAAACATTACAGCCCTGGAAACCCTATGGGGGAGGTCTACTCTTTCCTACAGGGTTGCTATGAGTTGGAATCAACTCGACGGCACCAGGAATAACAGGCCTGTAAAAAATTCTGCAATTATTAAAATGTTTCAAATTTATTTATAAATCTGTACTAATGAAATGCAAACTGTGGTGCAAACTGTTAATGTGCTTGGCTGCCAACCAAAAAGTTGGGGGTTCGAGTCCCCCTAGAGGCCCCTTGGAAGAAAGGCCTGGCGATCTATTTCTAAATAATCAGCCACTGAAAACCCTATGGAGCACAGTTCTACTCTGACACACATGGAGTCGCCATGAGTCAGAGTTAACTTGATGGCTACTGGTTTTGGTTTTACTAATGTAATATGACTTATATATATTTAAATTAATCTTAATAGTAAAAGATCACTTGCTGCTATGTGCCATCATGTTGATTCTGACTCAGCAACCCTACAAGACAGAGTAGAACTGACCCATACGGTTTCCTAGGCTGAAATCTTTACGGGAGCAGATCGCCACGTCTTTTCTCCCATGGAGCCGTTGGTGAGTTTGAACCACCAAACTTTCAGTTAGCAGTGGCGTGCTTAACCATTGTGCCACTAGGGCTCCTTAAAAGATTATTACACCCTAATAAATTTTTTGTCTTTTGTTTTAATATCTGTGAAAGACAGCCAAGTAAGAAAAGAATGATTCCACTTACATTGCCATGACACTTCTCAAAAAAAGCCACTTAGGAATAAGCCCAGTTTTCAATTTTTATCACTGGGTAAGTAGTTATTTAATTGTAATTCTACAGATAATTATAGTAAAGATTGAAAGAATGAGCTAAAATTTTTAATCTAAATACAGATTCACAAAATATTAATGTAATTCTTAATGCTTTCTTTGAACTATAAATATTTCTAATGCATCTTTATAACATGTAATTTAATCTCCCTGGCCTCAGCTTCTTCACCTATAAAATATAAACAGTAATAATATCTAGCTTATAAAATTATTAAGCATTAATAAATTATGCAAAGTACAGTTTGGGCACACAGGGTTAAGAGCTAAATAAATGTTAACTATTGAAATTATTTGTTGAAAACAAAAACAAAAAAACCAATGACAGAACTATCAACATTTGGAAACGCTATCGGCAAAGCTATGGGAATTGGAGGAAATCGATTCTGTTTATGATTAAAATGCAGGTATGTACAGCTGCTACTCTTATTTTTTTTAAGATATAGGTAGGCTCTTAAGAAAAAACTATGAACATGGCAATGAAATTAATGCAACCCTACTCCCCAGCCCTTTGAATCTGTGAGTGGTCTAAACTTCAGAAAATACACAATATACGGTCATGCACCGCTTAACGCCTGTTTGGGCAACATCAGACCACCTATACATCTGTAGTCCCATAAGGTTATAATAGAGTTCAGAAATCTCGATCGGAGAACGGGATGCAGCAGATGGAACTGGATACAGTGAATGCAGCCGCTTCCCACACAAACCACGTGTATCTCATGTCTCTTGTATATAAAGCTATGGCACTGTTAGGCCTATAATGGCACAGTAAGTTGTAGAGGGAGATTATCTGCCCAAGCAAATAATACAGTGTTCGCACAACGTACAAATCATATAACGTTCTATTTCACAGAATGTGTCACGGATCTTAAGTGACGCATGACCGTACCATTAAAGAATGTTACAGGAATTTTAAACATATTAAAAACAAAAAGAGTAAAAAAGAATATAAATGAGGTGATGGAAAATGGGGATGTAATTTTGGCTAAAGAAAAGGCTAGGGCTAGCTGCCATTTGGTCAGAGCTCATTTCTCAGGATCCAACAGAAAATAACTAAATATGCTTTAGTGCTGTTTTAGAATACAATATATAACCTAATCAGCAGAATAGGGTAAAGTAATTCATGTGTATGTTAACTACAAATCAAACCAAAGAAAGGAAAATGAAATAAAACTAGATCTTAGAACATAAAAAGCCAATGACATTTTCTGACTATTAGGTATTTTTGAGATCAGTGTTCAGAGACTTAATCAAGTAAAATTCTACCAATGGAGAAGAAAAATATCCCATACAGATGCAGAAATCCTAAGGCTTTGTTAAAATTATCTCAATGGAAATGTAAATAAGAAGCTATTATTTAAAAAAAAAAAAATATTTGTAAGTAGGTTTGTAGAAATTTCTAAAACCAATGGAATTTTGTTCTACCGAGAGATTCAACATATCAATACAGGCAAAAAGCACTGACAAAAAGGAACAGATAAAATTCTAAAGATTTTTGTGAGTTTAGGTATGCTTTTAAAATTCCATCCACTATGATGAGAATACCACTAACAATGCAAGACACAAGGCAATGATACACATCTCTTCCATGAAATAGAAAAGTTAGGAGAGATTATTCATGAGGTCCCCTAAGGAGCCCTGGTGGTACAGTGGTTAAGCACTTGGCTGCTAACCAAAAGGTCTGCAGTTCAAACCCACCAGCTGCTCTGTGGGAGAAAGATGTGGCAGTCTGCTTCTGTAAACATTATGGCCTTGAAAACCCTATGGGGCAGTTCTACTCTGTCCTATAGAGTCACTATGACTCAGAATCGACTCAACGGCAACTGTTTGTTTTTTTGGGGAGGTGGGGTGGGGGTGGGGGAGGGAGTTATTAATGAGGTAATGATATCAACCTGAACCTTAGATATTAAAGAGGTAAGTTCCATAACGACAGGAATGAAGTCCATTTCATTCCATGCTATGTATCTAGCACTAAGCATGCTAAACCAAAAAAACCAAACCTGCTGCCGTTGAGTCGATTCCGACTCATAGCGACCCTGAAGGACTGAGTAGAACTGCCTCAAAGGGTTTCCAAGGAGCAGCTGGTGGATTCGAATTACTGACCTTTTGATTAGCAGCCTAGCGCTTAGCAAATATTGGTTGGCTGGATGGCTGATGTACCAAAAAAAAAAAAAAAAAAAAAAATCGAGGGTGAGTAGAAAATTGAGGCCACACAAATAAATTTATCGTATTCAAACAAAAATGGAAACAAAATTACTAGCTGTGTTACCTTGAACAATTTATATATGTTACTGGAACCATGGAAAGAGCCAGAAGAGATCACTTAATTCAACCAATAACAATTTATTAAGTGCCTAATGGGATTCTAGATACTAAGGATAAAGTCTCAAATCAAGACAAACAAGGGTTTGCATTCTGCTGAGGCAAAGACATATTAATGAAAACATCATAGTAAGGGCAGTTTTACTCTTTGCTTCTCAAAAAAAAAAAAAAGTCCTATTGTGAAAACCTGAGATATTAAATGGAAAATTAAATGGGGAGGGGAGAGAAGAGAGCTCTCTCTGTAACAGTGAGAAGGTGTCACATCTAGATACATCAAAACAGTGTATCTACATTTCCCATAGAAGGTCCAGAGGTTTGCAAAAACTCCTCTGTAACATTCTGCTTTTACTTCCTAGGAAACAATATATAGAACTGCAACAATTTACTTATTTCCATAGCTTTAAAAATATGCTTTCTTTCGCAGAAAACATCTTAAGCTGGTTGAGTTACTGCAACTTCCCATTACAGGAATAAAGCAGAAATGAAGCTAGAAAATGCACATGAGAAAATATTTATTATGTTTCATACAACTATATTATTTTTTGCACAATGTCTTATTTTTTGCTTTCTGCAGCAAAGCAAAACTTTCTATGCCAAATTCTTCAATAAACCCCTTAAGATTACTCACCAATGACAAGAACAAATGAGCACTGTTAATGATTTTCAGATTTAAAGCAGTAATTCGCGTATAAAACAATTTTTTCCTTGAGATTTGCCAAACTATTCCTCTCCAGACAAATGTTTTTACCCTTATTCTAAGAATTCTTCACTCTATTGTCTAGGCTGACTAATTTTTACCTTGAATGCAAGCCAAAAGAAGAGATAATTTTTCAAGGGATAATGAGTTGAAGTCAAGAAAACATTTTCTACTTCTTAAAATTTAATACGCATTGAATTACAGATAAATTTCACAGTATCAAAATAAGTTTTGTCAGCATTTAAATCCCAACCTTCACAAAGAATGGTTTATTTTGATCATTATTTTTAGGGGGGAAAAGCCATTAGTTTGGACCATATCTCTCATGTTAAAAAACAGATAATCAACCTTTACCTCTTCTCTGTGTACTATAGATTATTTTGGTTGATATATTCTTTCCATCAGAACTTCTGCAGACATAATGAACAAAGGGTAGCATTATGCAAATTCTGTATACTTAAAGAGGGATAATTAAATAGAAGCCATCAATTTTCACGACGAATATTATTTTTCAAATGTCTTTAGGGCAAGCTCTGTCCTATCATATGAAAGCATCTTGTAAATGCTGAAATCTTTAGCAATTGTACTAGGCCTAGTTTCATATGAATGGGAAAGGATTCTGAAATTAAGGTAAATTAAATTAAAAATCACAATCTTAACTCATCTTAAATTAGAACAAAACAAGAAAAAAGTGAATATTAACGGGATATAAGCTACTGCGAAGTCATTCTTTAAAACACTTCAGTATGGAAGATCAGGGATAGAAAACGAGTTGGCTGCCTAAGATGCAAATCAAGCAGTCAAAAAGCTATATAAGAGATCTGCTTCACATTTTCTTGGAAAAAGCATGTATGTTTTGACAGATAAAAATATTTAATCTCAGGGTTTGCTATAAAACAAATCCCAGGTTTTCAGTTTGGTGGAGCAGTGTAGAAAATGCCACACTGATGTGATCATTGGTAGACTAAGCTAGGAAATAAAGATGGGGGATCAGGTTTGGAGGAAAGGGGAGAGGTGATAAATCTACTTCTGGAGATACTGAATTGGAGTTACCTATAGATAACTCAGTCAATCAGTATTTGGTACCTGAAATGTTACTAGGTCCCAGGAATTAAGATGTTAACGAAGACATAGTCCCTGCCCTCATGAAACTTAAAGCTGACACGTCTAGTATACAGCTAAATATATAGGTCTGGTCTAGATTTGAGAGTTATCAGTTGACAAATGGAAAAAACCTGAATGAGACCTCCCCGAATGTGTGGAGTAAGGAAAGAAGTGGACTGAGACTTTTAGAAGACAACATTTAAGAAAAAAAGGCGTCAATAAAACAAAAGCAAGAAATGTAGAAGATAAACCACGAGAGACTGGTATTATTCACAGAGAATTTCAAGGAGAAATGACAACTAGCATCAACTGTCACAAAATTAAAATGAGGATTGAGTAATACCTCTCAAAAATCTCAACTGGAAAGTCAGTGGTGACTTTATTGAGATAATTTCTACAAAGTATAGAGGGAGATAGCAGCAGGTTAAACAACGAATAAAAACTGAGAAAGGGGAGACATTAAGAATAGGGTATTTTCTATTATTAGCTCACATATAAAGTGAAGTAGAATTACACGGTAATATTGAGAAGGATGATTTTGCCTCATGAGAAACATATAAAATGGAAGGGAACTGAAAAGTGAAGGGGTCAATGGACACCAACTGAAGATACAGGAAAGATAATGGTTCTAATATTTTCTCCAAAAGACCACCTGCACCTCAATATTTGCCTAATTTGCTATAACTCAAAGGAGTAATTAGGTACCAAGGATGGGAGAGAAGAGGTATGTTTTCTAACAGAATTTTACTTTTCCAGATTCCACTAAATGTCAGCTATGCTGGTGGTTTCCTCCCTTCTCTTTCTCTCTTTGCACGAGAGCACATGAGAGAGACAGACCGATTCCCTCCCTACCCCTGCGTGTGCACATGTGGGCGCGCGCACACGCAGACACACGCGCACACACATAGCTTCAAATTCTGTACTGAAGTCTCCACCACGGAAAAATATAAAACAAAGACCTCTTCCCTAAACTAGACATCACAGAATAAGGATTCAAATTATTTTGTCACTTTCAAAGAAAACAAAAAAAAATATTTCAATGAGAAAAAAATACAATCACAGAATTAGCAAATTTTAGAATGCTAGTTTGACAGGTATAATGGAAGCATGCTAGATCAAGACTTCCGATTCTAGATCTGTCAGTAATTAGGTCTTAGGACTATAAACCAGGTCTTCTACCTTTCTGGATCTTGTTTCTCTCAACTGTAAATTGTAAAATACGTGAATTAGAAGAGGTCACATCCAGCCTTAAGAAGAACATGATTCTAGTCCTATGCATATGCAATTCACAGGTAAAGAGAACAAGGCTCAAAGAAGATAACTAAATGACTGGTAAAGTTACTAAGGTGTAGACAGCCGTTTTGGAATTGAGGTTTGCCAATTCTCAATCTAATGTTCTTTATCCTATAAAAAGTTTATATTCTGTGGAGTGTGAAGATACTGATTATACTGAAATCCTCTATTCCTCCTCTCCAAATTACATTTTAAAATATGGGCACAGCAAGGCTACAGTAATAAGCTGAACAAATACAGAACGTTTTTCTCCTAGTTTAGAGCCTCTTTGATGAAGACACGCTTACTATGGTTCTGATGTGTTTATTAAAGAAACAGGACACAATATTCTGGTATGTACTGGCCATTAACTCTGATGTGCTTAGGGGAATTCTGCCTTCAACAGAGGGTATACAACATGTTCCCAGTCCCACTCTAAGATATACAATAAAGAGATAAATTCCTAGTCAAATGATATATAAAATTACAGAATTGCCCATCTCAGCACTAAGCTATATTTCCACAGCTAGACAACTAATTTCATCCAGGAAAACAGTTAACACCAGTGTTCACAGAGACTGTTCTTCATAATCCACACTAAAACACCTGCCAATTATATAAAATAAGAATTCACAGCGTTGAAAGTAAATTCAACAAAGCATTTGATCAATTTCTTTAGTTAAAATTAAATATTTTATAGTATTAAATTTCATTACAAATTACTACTTCATTCTTTTAAAAGCATTACTAAAACAGCTACAATATAACAGTTTTACCATATGGTCCATTTTTATGGAAAATGATAGTCTATAGAAAACTTTAAGGGCTCAGGGCTAGTTTAATATGAAAATACATTTTTTTTCCAGGTAATAAGGTAACAACTTACTTTAGCCAATTTTCTCGGCTTAACAATCTTTCAGTAATTTATTTAAAGCATATCTACTTAAAAAATATCTTAAATTTCAGATAAATTACTGATTATGTCAGAGCAACAAGCGGGCATAATGAATACACAGTGACATAACTCACCTAAATAGGGAATGCAAGGTGTCATCTTTAAGCTACTTATATAATCTCTGAGTCTTTTGTAGTTATCTTCTTTACTCATTACATATTCTAATTTTTCAAAGGTAGTTTTGTCTTTTCGACTTAATAACTAAAAAAAAAACCAGAAAAGTATGTTACTTACAAATCCCATTTTACTGAAGCAAATATATTTCTCCTGAATTGAAGCTGTATCTACTCAGTATTTGATTTTTAATTTCTTAATTTCAAAATTATACCTTCTTTAATTATATTTTGATAGTATATAAATAAAATCAGGTCTATTTATGAGCCAGTTTTTTTATCTGTAAAATATAATATTCTTTATATATAAATAAAATTAACTTACTAAGTAGTAAATTATGTTACATTATTTCTCATCCTTACTGTTTTAAATGGCTAAGCAATTTTTCTTAATCATTTTAAATAATTTAAAATAATTACGCTTTCATATTCAGCTCAAATACTCCAATATTTTGACTGTTCCCTGCTCCCTCAAAGATAAAGATCATTCTTGAATAATTAAGAAATAACTTTTCTTGACAAATCTAATCATGGCTAGTCCTAATAAGACAGCAAAACCCAGTGCTTTCCTACATTTGGGGACTTCTGACAAGACATTTCTCTTTGAGCTCTTTGATCAGTGCTATATTGTATACAGTTGAACAATTAAATGAGCTAACTAAAAGTTTATTGTTTTAGTGCCCTTTGAGATCACTGGAGATAATCAAGAGAAAACAATGCAGGGTCAGGAGTCACCCACAATTATATTAAGGAATGATATTTAAAAATTTAGGAAATATTTTCTGACTCATTCCAAAGACTGAAAAATTTTTTTTTTCTTTAAACATATGTAGTTTTTCATTACTATGTAAAATTCCACTTTACTTACGTCCTAAAATATTGGTGCTATTTTACAGCAGGCAAAACACTTCCAATTATAAAATTATAAATTCTCCTACGAAGCTAACAGAGAAGTTTGAGGATTAAAGACGAGGACACTGGGTCAAAAGTGATCACATGGTTAGCAGATAGCAGCACATACCAACAACATCAATCATTCACTTACTCCCTACTTTCCAGGGTCCCATAGCTTGGTGCAGTAGCTAAAGAATATCCTGATACCTAACCCACTACTCTTTCAAGTATTACAAGCAGTACAGTTGGGACTGATGTTAGAATCTATTTTCATAAACTCCAAGATGCAGATTATCTTCAGATAATTTCTATCAGAAAAACTTATGAACAGTATCCTTCCCTTTTTGAAACACGATTTCAAGGAGTCCTTTGCTTTAATGTTTTAGGCAGACATTCCATTATCTAAAACACTGGTTTCACAATCTTCCCCATCCCTCTTCAACACACATGATTAACATTCTCAAGGTTAGATGTCAATCTCTGCTTGCTACTTGTAAGTCTAATCATTCTTCTCTATGTGTTTGTCTTTTTGTTTTTGCTTTGTCAGAGTTCTTTATATATACCAGATACAAATTCCTCATCAGTTACATTATCTTCCCCTACTCTGTGGCCTCTTTTCAATTATCTTTAAGATATTTTTGCTGAACAGAAATTCTTGTTTTAATGTGGGAAAACTTATCCATCTTTTCTTCATTGTCTGAACTTTTTGTTATCTTATCCAAAAAATCCTTACCTATCCAAAGCTGGAAATCTATTTGTGCCAAGCCAGACACTCATCTCTTTTTTCCTTCTATTCCCTGGCTTACACCACTCCATCAACACTGGTCACCCCACTACCTGAACATATCGGGGCCTTTGTTATTCACTCTGCTTGGAATTCTCTTCTCCCAGATATCCATATGACTGGTTCCCTCACTTCCTCCAGGTCTCTACCCAACTGTCACTTATCAGAGATTCTATTATCACATTATATAAACTAGTACTGCCCTGTTTTCCTTTCTATTCCATTTACTCTGCTTTATTTTTCTTCAGAGCATTTTTCATTATTTATGATGGAGAATATGACTTTGCCTATGTATCATTCACTACTGCATGCCAAACAATTAGACAGTGCCTTGCACAGTACAGAATATTTTAAAATTGAATACAAACACCGAAAGTTTTATTCAGATTAATAACAGAGCTGTTACCAAATAAAAAAAATTCTTTTTCATGCCAATATCTGAGGAAAACCATGTAAATATCTTCAAGGAAAATAAAAATTAAGGGAATTATATCTCATTTCTAAACCACAGTATAAATTCAAGTATAATTCTTTTCCCTAAAACCTTAAAGACGAGATTCTTAACTGTATAATCATTGCCATTCTCCCATGAAATTCAATTTTTAAGAAAAAGGATAAGGCCATCATTATTAAAAAGCACTTTTAAAGTAGGAAAGCCTTTCACCCAGGTGTTTCTATAATACAAATGAAATATAAAAAGGATCATAAGCTCTTCCATACTAGTATTTTTCCAAAATAGAAATCTACTCTGGTTTTCATGAGAAACATCTGTCTCTTCAGATATTATGGAAAGTGAAAGCAGCACTAGGCTAATTAAAAACAAAGCTATGTTTTAGTAATTATAAGAAAAAGAAAGAAATTATAGAAAGTCAATCATGTCTTTAGCATAGGACCTTAAGAACATACTAACCCTTTCTACAAAATGCCTTAACACAAAATCATTTCTCCCTAACATTACAGAATAATATTAAATATGGATAAATTCAGCTGAATCTAAAATTTTACTTACATAAAACCTAAATGAAAAATACTTAGAAAGCTTGAGGCCAGTTATCATGTCACTCGAATATAAAAATACACAAATTTGCAGAAATCAAAATTCGTACCCTGATCTTGTTAAGGTAATACTACCAAATATGATTAACATAATAATACCAGAATGTACAACAACATTACACAATGCATGTCACCTCTCAGATTTTCAATTATTCTTAAGGAAAATATCGAAGTGGTTTACAGATAAAAAATTACTGGAAATCTAAATCAGTATTTTTTTTGGAAACTTATGATTTAGATCTTCCTCAAACTTTCCAAAAGTATGATCTTTATGTGGCTAAATACAATTTTTTTTTTGCATTCATGACTTTCCATCACTGAATATGAAGCACTGTGCTGTCAATAAGATGCTTAAAAAGGTTCTACAAAAATGATTTCCCAAAGAGCAGAAACCAAGTCCCAAACTATATTCTGTCCAAAAATTACCTGGCAAACCTGGTAAATCGCGTAAGGAGAGAAAATGTAGTTTTTAAAGAGCAGAGTATAAAGTAATTTTAAAATCCTTATCTATTATCATAATACTAACCTTGCTAAAAAATACAAAAGAAACAATAACTATTTCCAACAGGAAGTCTAACCTTTCATTAACTTATGAAGATTACTCACCGCCCATGTTTTAGTCAACCTGAAAATTGGGGCACTTTGTAAGCCAGAAACCACTGCCATAAGTGCATGTAGGTTATTCAGCTCGTACAGTTTCTGAAAATTCAAAAAAAAAAAAAGGGGAGGGGGGAGATGAAAAATAAATAGCATGAATACAAGAAATAGAAATACCTAAAACATGTTATATATAAAAATTTATTCCAGGTGGATTAAATACTCAAGTGTCAAACCAAAGCTATTAAAACTTTTAAAGGATAATATAAGAGACTACATTTGATTTTCTCAAAGGTTAGGGTAAGATTTCTTAAATGAGATACTTTTAAATAAGACAATAGAAAGCACTGAGATTAATAAATCTGACTATATTAAAATTAACAATGTCTATATCAAAGATAACATGAAAACAGTGATAAGACAAGCCACGAAAAGGGAAACGTATACAAAGGATGTGACAGAGAACTAGTAACTAGAATTATATAAAGAACTCCTAAAAAATCAATCGAAGACCAATACCGCAATAGAAAATTGTTTAAAGATCTTGAACAGGTATTTCAGGACAGAAAAGCTAAATAGCCAACATAGAAAAGATGTTAATTGTCATCAGATTCAATGAAAGGCAACTAAAACGAGATATATTTTACACCAACCAGGAATGGTAATGAAAAATTCCGAAATATCAAGTGTGACAAGGATATGGAGCACATAGTACCTTGAAACATTGCTGGTGGGAGTGTATATTACTACAGCCAGCGGTTTGGAAATCCGAGAGATGAGCATAACTCTACAACTCAGCAGTTCTGCTCCTAGTATGAATTCTGTATTTCTAGAGATTCAACCTTCACATAAGCAGCAGGAAACTCATGAGAATGCTGATAGTGGCAGTGTTTATAAGAGCAAAAATTTGGAAACTACCCAAACTACAGTATACTGAATAAATTGTGGTATATGCAAGCAACAGAATACAAAAGAACTACACACAACCACAGGTACAAATCTCAGTAACACTGGTGAATTAAAAAAGGAAGTTATAAAAGTAAGTATGGAATAATTTCATTTAAACAAAGTTAAAAATCATACTTATGAAAGAATGTAATATTCAGGGATATACATATATAATAAAACAAAAAGAAAAAGAAAGAATGACAAATATAAAATTGAGAATGGTGGTTCCTTTTGTAGTGGAAGAGTAGGGGATTGCATATAAAGAGGCAAATGGGAATTCGCAGTGGGCACAAGGGTCTCCAATTTATCACTCTTTTGATATCTTAAATATATTTTATAAATATTCTTTTGCATCTATGGGATTCAACTTGGCTAGGCTATGCCAGTTATTTAATGAAACACTAGGTGTTGCTGTGAAGGTATCTGTAGATGTGGTTAACATTTGCAATCAGTGATTTTAAGTAAAGGAGATTAGGTCCCTAGGTGACACAAACTGTTCTTGCTTATGCTAACATACAGGTTGGCAGTTCAAACGCACCCAGCAGTACCACAAAAGATAGCCCTGGCGATTTGCTTCCATTAAGATTACAGCCAAGAAAATCCTATGGAGCAGTTCTACTCTGTAACATGGCGTCACCATGAGTCAGAATTGCCCTGACGGGAACTAACAACAACAAACATTACCCTTGATGATGTAGGTGGGCCTCATCCAATCAGCTGAAAAGCTGTAACAGCAAAAACTGAGGTTTCTTGGAGAAAAAGAAATTCTACCTTAAGATTGCAGTATCAACTCCTGCCTGAGTTTCTACTTGCTAGTCCCCATAATTGCCTGAGCCAATTCCTCAAAATAAACCCCCCACTCTGTGTGTGTGTGTGTGTGTACACATATATCATACTGGTTCTGTTTCTCTGGAGAATGCTAACTGATACAATCTACTAAAAGAAGAGAAAGACCTGAATATGGGAGGCAGAGCATCAGGATAGAGGGATTTAGAGACAGTGATAAAAAAAAAACAAACAAAAAACAAAACAAAAACAATGATGCTTAGTGCTTGGAATGAAGGCAAGAGCTATCAAAAATCAATAAAAAGCTGAGTCTGAACTGGAATTAAATTATTATTTGATGAAAAGGATAATGGTAGATTTGACGGGCAAAATGTGGGAGTTTTGAATGGAATATATGAGTACGTTAAAAAAAAACCCTAACAAACATGAGAAAACAAATGGAAATTCAGAATCTACGGAAAAGTCATGAATTTCTACCAGATAAAAATCAGTATTTATCTACCATATCACCAAGAATGTTTTTAAAATTTTTTGACACTTCTGCAAAATATCAAATTTTTAGAAAGGCTAGCTCTGCCACCTAGTGTCACAGAATTTGTTAGAATATAATTGCTCCCACATGTTCAAGAAAAACATAAAAGTTTTGACATAAAAATTATAAACATGGTATCCTCATTTTATTCTATTTTCCTTCATTCACAGGTAAGATAAGTTATGTATTCATTACAAAAGTAATGAAGAACCTGGCTACAATGACCACATTTGTTAGTGAACTTAACACAAATTTGGAGTTGTTAAAGTTTTCAATAAAATCTTGGTATCCTCTTGTGGCATGTCCTGTTCCATCCTCCTCTCTAAATTCTGGCTATCCCTGAAATCCACACTCCATTTCTCCTGCTGCATTTATTATCTATGCCAAACAATAACCGCTCAATTAACTATCTGATAACATCTGTACTTACACAATTCTTTTAAAAATAATCACATGGCTGGCAGAGTCATCTATTTCAAAAGTAAATTACTGACCATGAATTCTACTTAATCCTATATAGCTTTCTCTATCACTTGCAGAATAGAGTCCAATATCTCACAAGTATCCCACTTCACTATAATCTGACTTCTATTTACTTATCTAGTGAAATAGATCATAATTCAGTTACTCAGAGAGGAGGGAAGGATATAAAAGAAAAGGGAGGAAGACAGGAAAAGGGGGAGAGACAAAGGGCATCTGATTTAAGAAACTGACTTATATTAATCAATAGGCCTTATTTCCCAGTGTCAATAAACAGTAAATAAAATGTCACAAGCAAATAGTCACTCACATACATTTTTGAATGGCTGATCTCAAAAGTAAAAACACAAGTTCTTCTTACCTTAGCAGTTTTAATATAGTGGCTCAAAACTTCCGCTCTAATTTTTAACGTCTGAGCATGAAGAATCTCTCTAACAACCCAAAAGCTTACCTGCAAATAAAAATTAAAAATAGTTAAAGAGCAAGCTTCTTTACTCACTGGAGTCAAATTAATGATGAAACCCTTGGCTCACCACCAAGATATAACCAATCTTCAAATGTCGCATATCCTTAATATACAGAGACAGGCAGATATAGACCTACAGATATAGATACAGATACGTGTGTGTATACACACGAGAATACCACTGTGTTTTTCAATTTGTGAAAGCTAACATAAATTTTGCAGCCCTGGTGGTGCAGTGGTTAAGCGTTCAGCTGCTAACCAAAAGGTCGGCAGTTCGAATCTACCAGCCGCTCCTTGGACACCCTATGGAACACAAATTTTGAGGGGAAAGAGAATGCAATAAAATCAGAGCGACGCAACATGAACATTAAACAGATACAAGTGTTTTTTGCTGTATTTTGAAACATTGTGACAGAATTAAGTAGACCCTAAGGTCAGACATTGTAAAAGATGCTTCTTATAAGCAAGTTTTTCTGTGGCTATACAATCTCATGTTGCCATTTATTTATGCTGAGCAGAATCCTAAGTGTGAAGAGTCCCATACAGTTTTCTTGGTAGGAATAAAATGAGAGAAAATATAATAGAAAAATATATGTAAGCTCTCATTCTAAAATTAAGATTGTATTTTAGAAATTTTGTAATGCTTTCTAATTCAATGAAATGATCTTTTTTATTTCTTTGAAAAACATTAAAAATCATTCATCAGAAAGCCAACTACTTGGTTTACTTAAAATGCTCTACTCTGGTACAAATAGTGTGCTTACCATATGATACAATGTAAGAAGTATGTGACATAGTTTAGTCATGTACTATCAAAATAAAATCTAAGCACTATAAATAAGCTCAAAACTCACACAAAGCTAAAACAGGATGCAGTTAGAAATCTTAGATCAAAAGATAGCTTTAAATACTACTGCCTCACATTTCTTCACTTTTTAAAATGAAAAACAGTTCAGATTTTACTTGCAATTTTTATCTATAAATTATCAAAATGTATGTATTTAACAAGTGTAAACGTGAATGTGAAATGCACATATTTTTAAAAGGTATCTTAATACTTGTTACTATATTTGGGCTACTAATGGCAATAATTTTACCTAATTCTAACAAATTTTACTTCTAAAAAATATCAAAAGTTAGACTATAGATATTTTAACAATAATCACTGCAAATATCAACTATTAATTCAATCTAATAATGTCAAACAAATTTTAAGACAAATACTGTGGTGGTTTTAAAATATGGACACAAATTCTTTGTCACTGCTCCCTTTGAAAATCGTGGTGTAAGTCACTTCCCATTGAATCTTGGCAAGCTTGTGACTATTTCAGTGAATAGAATATGGTGAAATTAATGCTAAGTGACTCTCAAGGTGAGGTCACGGAAGACCATGCAGCTCCTGTCCTGACTGCTACAGCACCCTCTCTGGGGGCCCTAAGCTACCATGTGAGAAGTCCAACTACCCTGAGACCACGTGTTGTTCCAGCTGACAGTCCCAACTAAGGCCACCCACACTTGAGAATACAGACCCAGAATGATTATCATTAAGACATATTTTAATAAAATTATTGAACTTTAAAGAAAAAAAATTGGGGAGCATCTAGACAAAAAGAGGAAGTGATTTTTAAGGAAAAGAAAATTCAATTACCATACTTTTCAACAGCAACACCTTAAGCCAGGAAAAAAAAAAATTAGTAACATATCAAAGATAACCAAGGAAAGAAAATATGAGCCAATAATTTTTTTGTTCAGTAAAAGTAAAGAGCACGGGCAAACTCACCAACATGTAAGAACTCAGGGATTACTGTTCCAGTAAGTCCTTCCTGAATAATGCACAGACAAACAAAAGAGCTTCGGACAACCAAAATGACTAGAGACATCAACATAAGGATAATAAAAAACCAAAAAAGAAAAAAAAAAAAAATCTGTTGCCATGAGTCGATTCTGATTCAGAGCAACTCTATGGGACAGAGTAGAACTGCCCCATGAGGCTTCCAAGGCTGTAAATCTTTACGGAAGCAGACTGCTACGTCTTTCCCCATGGAGCAGACGATGGGTTCAAACTGCTGATCTTTTGGTTAGCAGCCGAGCACTTAACCACTGAGCCACCAGGGATCCTTTAGAAGGACAGTAGTAAGCATTAAATATATAATACTTATTCACAGAATTAAGACAAAATGAGGGTTAGGAGACATCTAGGTCAATTGGCATAACATAGCTCATAAAGTCAATTTCTACCTCCTAGTCTGGTGAGTAGCATCTGGGCTCTTAAAAGCTTGCGAATGGCCATCTAAGATACACCTATTGGTCTCTTCCTGTCCGGAACAAAGGAGAATGAAGAAAACCAAAGATTCAAGGAAGTAATTAGTCCAAAAGACTAATGGCTCACACAAACCACAACCTCCACTAACCTGAGACCAGAACTAGATGATGCTCAGCTACCACTACCGACCGCTCAGACCAGGATCACAACAGAGGGCCCCAGTCAGAGTGGGAGAAATGTGTAGAACAAAATCCAAATTCATAAAAAAGACCAGACTTACTGGTCTGATAGAGTTTGGAGGAACCCCTGAGACTATGGCCCTTAGTCACCCTTCTCACTTGGATCTGAAGCCACACCCGGAGATCACCTTTCAGCCAAATAATAGACAGGCCTATGAAATAAACAGTAACACCCGTGAGGAAAGTGCCCCTTAGAACAATCAATTATATGAGACCAAAAGGGCAACATTTGCCCAAAAGCAAAGATGAGAAGGCAGGAAGGGGCAGAAAACCAGATGAATGGTAATGGGGAACTCAGGGTAGAAATGGGGAGAGTGTTGACACACTGCAGGGATTGCAACCAGTGTCACGGAACACTTTGTGTATAAATTACTGAATGGAAAACTAATTTGTTTTGTAAACTTTCACCTAAAGCAACACACACACACATACACACACACACACACACAGAGTCGACTAAATGAAGGTTAGAAGGGAGTGAGAGTACAGTACATATGGCTGCATGCTCTGATAATACATAGTACAATTATAAAAATGGGGGAGACTAGAGAGAACATACACAAAAAATTTATGTTTTCAGTAACTATACTGATGTTGTTAGTATCAGTATTGTTATTTGAGACTGTTGTATATTCTGTAAGATAAAGTAAATGAGTAATTATAGAATATTCTATTATGTCTTGTGTTCCTTGGAAACCAGGATGCTGAATGTGGAGAAAGGACATACAGATTTAATATAGAAGAGCTGAAGCAAAAACTTTGGTCCTGAGTTTGAATTGGAAGTATCCATATGAACTCATGAGATGTTTTATCTTTAAATATTTGTGTATGTGTATGACATAGATAGACAGATGATAGATGATAGATAGATATCCTAACTATATCCACTGAAAGTCCTGCAAATTGTAGTCACCCCAGTAGCAATGAGCACTCCTGGTAACCAGACTGAAATAGCATTTCCTACTATAATAAACCAGGACTTCTTAAAGAAATGTTCATTCCTGAAGGGAGCAAGAAATGCACAAAATGAGTCGGAACATTTTGGCATACCAGATGGCAAGGAAATTATTAAAGACTACTTGTTGTCGGAGCCCTGGTGGGGCCAGTGGTTAGGCGTTTGGCTGCTAACAAAGAGGTCACAGTTTGAATCCACCAGCTGCTCCTTGGAAACCTTATGGGGGCAGTTCTACTCTGTCCTATAGGGTTGCTATGACTCAGAATTGACTTGACAGCAACGAGTTTGGTTTTTTGGTTTTTACTTGTTGTTGTTAGGTGCCGTTGAGTTGGTTCTCATTCACAACGATCCTATGTACAACAGGACAGAACAATGCCCAGTCCTGCACCATCCTCACAATTGTTGTTATGCTTGAGCTCACTGTTGCAGCCACTGTGTCAGTCCATCTCATTGAGGGTCTTCCTCGTTTTTTCTGACCCTCTACTTTACCAAGCATGATGTCCTTCTCCAGCAGGGACTGATCCCTCCTGATAACATGTCCAAAGTATGTGACACATACTCTTGCCATCCTTGCTTCTAAGGAGGAGCATTAAAGACTACTAGGGTCATGGAAAAAGGATGTGGAAGCCAACCTGAAGAGGCTCTCACTTGCCAAAGATGGGACAATATGAGTTTCAATAAGGATAATAATTGCAATGAACTGAAACCCCATATATATTTAAATCCATTAAGTTCATAATAAAAAAAACAAAAAAAAAACAAAACCTACTTGATCACCATCAGAGGGAAACAGAACACCAACTCATTATCTTCAAAACTGCCAAGTAAAGGAATAAAGAAGCAAGTATTTATCCTTCCTTTGCTGTAGTAAATGGACCTCTGGGTAAGCAAATACCAGATGAGGGAAAATATCTCTTCATAAAACAATGCTAACTAATAAATAAAAAAAATGATAATAAATAAAATAAGAATTCACCTTTTAACAATCTCAAATTAATCAGTTGATCTAGATGAACTGCTAACATCACAGAAGAAACCACCAGGTATTATGCATCTCCTGATGAAAAAACAAAACACAACCTATACTCTTGCCAAAGGAAATGAATGTCAGTCTGATCTAACCTTGGCAACAGTCTGCTAATTTGCAAAAGACACAAGGCATATTAAAGTGCGCTCAGTGCAATCTAGACTGTGGGAAACTCTACAGGCCAAAATGCCTGGGTTTCTCCACAGATAAATTCCTCCACTGGAAAAGAAAGGGATGGGGAAATTGTACATTAAAAATTCTTCAACACTTATCAAGTTAAAAAAATTGGCAAGGCTAAACTATAGTGTCGAAGGATCCACATTTAGATGATAAAACTGTAAAAAGAAACATGGGAAGTGATTACTATAAAAGTTAGGACAGTGGTTACTTTTAGAGGACAAAAGGGGGGTAACTGGATCGAGGCACACGTAGGGGCTTCTAGGCGGGATGGCAAAATTTTACTTCTTGACCTGGGTGGTGGTTACAAGGATATTTGCCTAACAATAATTCATTAAATCATACCTTTGTCTTGTAGTTTTCCGTGTCCATGTTTTATCTGACAATAAGTAGTTTAAAAATAGGAAATAAAGAGAATAATAAATACGACCAGGGAGATTTGGAAATGACAGAACTTGTAAAAATGAAAAAAAAAAAAAAAGTGACATTAAAACCGGGAAGAGCTAGACTGAAAGGTCCATGAAGGTAGAGATCTCTGTCCTGTTCACTGACACATCCCACATCTAGGACAGTGCCCAGGACATAGTAGGAACTTAAGAAATAGTTATCAAATGAAAATGAAAGCTGAAGTTATTGTATACCAATTAGGTTGCAAAGTTTGATGATACCGAATGGAGTGATGAAAATTTGTACTCTGCTAATGGGAATGTAAACTGGTACAACATGTTGAAAAACAAAACATTATCTTGTATAGTTAAACATGCATATACTCTATGACTAAAATTTTATATCTAGGCATATATCTTAAGGACAGTTTTTCAAACAGATCACAATCCTGTTTTATGAAATCAATTTAGTGAGTCTAAGAAGCAATTTTTTCCAACTGAAATAGAGCAGAAAAGATCAAAGTGCGTATTATCCAACAGGTAAACAATGTTTCAGAATATTTGTTTCAGCTGTGTGTCTGTACCGAGGTACAATGTAAAATATTTCACCTTACTATGGGCCACAGTCAGAAAAGTTTGTAAGTTACTGCCCAGAGAATTACTGCACATGTGCTATCAAGAGACTCTCAAGAGTATTCACAGTGACATTCATGACAGCAAACAACTTGAAAACATACCTCATGTCCACCCACTGAAGAACAGATAAATTCATTGTGATACATTCATACAATGAAATCCTAAAGAACAGGGAAAATCAATGAACCAGAGCTACATGCATCACCATGGATGCATTAGAGAAACACACTCGAGTGACAAAAGCCATTCAGAAGAACATATGTAGTACGATGCTGTGTTTTATGAAGTTGAAAAATAAGATTATATAACATACTGTTTTAGGGATACAAATATTCCTGGTAAATCTATACAGGAATTACAGAAGTCAAAAAAAAAAAAAAAAAAAAAAAAGAAGAAGAAGAAACCAACCAAACTGGGAAAAAAAAAAAGAAAAGAAAAAACAACACACAAAAACGTCCAGTTAACATTTTAACTTCTTAGTGAAGGCAGAGGGACAGGCACGTAAGACACTTCAAGTTTTGGTGCTATTCTATTTCTTGAGTTAGGTGGTAAATTCACAGTTGTTTATTAGGATGCTTCTTAACATACATTAGGTTAGCCATATGAACTAGCCATTTTAGTAGGTTAAAAATGGCCAAACATCAGCAATTTCATACAGTTCAAACAAATATTTTGCAAATGTTCTTGGAAGTGTATAAAGTATTTCATAAAATAGTATGTAAATCCTAGAAAATGTTTATTCATAGATACTGAACTGTAGTTGCTTTATTCAGGGTTTTCTAATCATATAAAGATGTTACAAAGACCTTACAATTGCAGCCAAAAATCCGTTAAACTTTAAAGAGAGTTATCACAGAAATATCCAAGAGACAAATTATTAAAATTACAATATAGTCAAGTGACAGAAGATTACACAGTCATTAAAAATGTTCCCAAAGTAATTTTAATGATATAGGAGTATTTTGATATGTTAAGACAATAAGGCTATAAATTATATGTACAACATGATTTCTACTGCATTAAGAAAAAAATGAAGAATTCAAGGACTTATGCTAAAACGTTAACAACAGTCAACTCTGGGTAATTTTTCTTCTTGTTTTTAATACATTTCTACTTGTTCAATTTTCCAGCAATTTTCTCAATTTTAATATAGCTATCATTATTTCAATAATCAGAAAAAAAGCATACTTTTTAAAGAGGTGGAAGAGTGCTCCACTTCTGGTAACAGTGGAGTAGCTTGTGTTTTAAGAGTGCTAGTCTAATTATAATTACAAAATATAAAAACACAACTATTTAAAAGCATAAGAGGGGGCCCAAAGCAGACAGAAACTGGTATTGGGTGAGATTTACACTTACTGAATTTATTGCCAGATGATATTCTTTTACTGTGATGATAAATTCTAACCATCTCAGAAACTTTTTGAACACAACTCTTACATCGCTCAAATATGCAATTCAGTACAAGGCAAGTTTGTCCTATGCCCCTAGTAATGGATTTAATCTAATTTTTTAAAACTTTAACCTACTTCCATTTTGGGGAATACTGTGAACCAAACAGCCAGAAAAAATATTTGCTACAAACCTCTAGAAATGCTAAGTGAAAATATAATAAACTTTAAAAAAATGCACAGCTGAGCTATAAGAGGAAAGTAAGGGATTTCCTTAGAGGCCAAAAACGAAGGAAGTAAGAGCAAAGCAGCAGTTCCAAGAGCTGATACTACTGCTACCTTGGAGGATTTCCTGTCTCAGTGACACAGGGGCTTGGGTTTAACACTACTTCAAAAACATAACATAAGGCCTCACATCCCCCTGCTTTTCTATCTAAGGGATCCTCAAAGGGCTATTATCTTGGTAAAAATGTGGACTTAACAAATTCACCTACTGTCAGAGGGAGACAATAGAGAGGTCTGTCTGTATTAGCCGAGGCTCTGGTGGTTAAGGACAAAAAATAAGCTTTTCACAAGAATTCATAACCAAAGGCCTGCCCTCAACTGGATTAGGAGTTTAAATTTTTACTATAGAGGAGTACAGATGTTCCCCAAGCAAAACCTTTAACACAAAAAATAGCTCTGTGATAGCCCTTGGTACCTGATAAAAACAAACAAAAAGCCTCTCAGAAGGGATATATTCTCAATCTAGGCAGCAGCAAATTCCCACAGGTAAAGCTTAAACAGACATGAGCTCCCAACCCAATGCTACAGAGTACATACGAAAACAAACTTTTAAGGATTAGCAGAAATAACAGAATAAGTATCCTCAAGGACTTCAGATAACAAAACAGAAACTATAATAAATAAAATGTTGAAAATGATTTAAGAATTAAAAAAACAGAAGAAAATGATGCTAGTGTAAAAAGCACAATGATTTAAAACAGGTAAGACACATCCGAAGATAATCAGTGAACTTAAATAGAGATCTGAGAAAACTGCCCATAACGGAGCACAAAGAAATAGATGGGAAGTATGAAAGGTTAAGAGACAATTAGGAAAGAATGTCAAGTTCCAAAATTTCCAATAGGAATTCCAAAAAAACCAAACCAAACCAAACCCGTTGCCGTCGAGTCTATCCCGACTCACAGAACTGCCCCATAGGGTTTCCAAGGAGTAGCTGGTGGATTCGAACTGCCAAGCTTTTGGTTAGCAGCCGAACTCTTCGAAGTTCAGAAGGGGAAAATAGAGAGTAGGCAGAGAGGCAATATTTGAAGAGATATTGGCTGAAAATGTTCCAGAATTAACATAAAAAGTTAAACTATATCTTAATGAAAAATTATGTCTTAAGGAATCAAATTTCAGAAATTATCAAAATTTTATCAACTCACATGATTAAATCTTCTTGTGAAGGCAACTGCATTTGGTGCAGAACTATATTTTTCTTTTTTATTCCATCCACAACTTGAAAGTTCCTGAAATATTAAAGTGAAAATTAAATATAAATTCAAGAAATAGTCCAGTTTTCTTGTTATATTAAGGGTTTACAAGCATTAAAGATGGTTTTAGAATTACTTTATTTAATAGGAACATATCTAATGTAACCATTCAGTTGAATCAATCCAAAAGCAAATTTTAGTAGAATACAAGAAAGCAAAATTATTTTCTGTAGTAGAGCCAATAAATCATATCTAAAATTGGAGAATCAAGATAATAAGCATTTAGATGTATTATTTGAGGGTGATTAATTGAAAGGCTATATACTAAACAGGAAAGAACTCCCAGCCCCCTACCATGCAGTTCCCTGCACTCGGCTATGAGAACATGAGATACCAAGGCTCACACTTCACAGGCAGGAGACTGGAGGATTCTTCTCTGAAGAGATTTGAATCCCAAGAGGAAAGATCTACAGATAATGAAAGATGAGCATCCGAAAACATACAGTGAAGTCCACTAGTTATCAATCCTTATTCAATCACTAAGAGCTTGCAAGCAGCTTTTCAGCTTTGAGCTGACAGCCAATGACCCCAAATATTTGAAGGGTCTATCAATATAATTCAAAGAGCGTAAGAACATGGATGTCAAAAAAATTATGTTAACCTCTAATGGAAATAAGACACACTCCTTTCAATTATAAATGTAGGCTACAGATTACAGTGGTATTAGCAATACATGTGCCTTTGTCACCAATAAAACAATCACAGATATTTTCACATCACATTACATATAGTGCAAATATATCAAATATCACTTACACTCATCACTACTTTGTAATTATAGTAGTTATTAGAGTCATCTCTAGATCTTACTAAATATGTAGAAGCACACATATAGCTACATCATAGTTTTAAAAAATATTTTGATAAGTATATTTTAATAGAACCAACTTCCTTTTGATTTTAAAGGAAGCGTTCCATAGGCTTCAGTCTGCCAAAGAAATCCAATGTCCAGAAAGGTTAAGAACCTTGCTGTAATACTACAACCACCATCAGAGACAGAGATAGAGAGAATCCACATTGGGGGACAGGCGGGAACTCTAAGGAAACTGAGTTAGAGCAGGGAAAGAAAGAAAACTGCAAAAAGGAAAAGACAAAATTGTATAATAATTATTCTCAGACAGATGAGAAAAGATATTGTACCCATTAATCAAAAAGAGGAGAGGTGTAAAACAGAAATATTCAGAGAACGAAATAAAGAGCTTTTGGAAATGAAAGCTACAATAATCGAAATTAACCCGTCAACAGAAAGGTTGTGAGATAAAGGTGATAAAATCTTTTAGAAAAAACAGCAAAAATAGCCAACAAAAATAACTTATCAAAAAAGTAATTCAAGAAAATGTCCTAGAGCTTAAGGACAAGAAAAGGTCTGCCTAGTACCCAGTTATCCTCCCCTCTGCCCCCTATATCTAAAACCAAGGCATAGCATCAAGAAATTGCAGGACACTGGAGACAAAGAGATCACAAAATCTTTCAGATTCAAAAACAAAAGAATAGATAACATATGGAAAAATGGATCAGATCAGAAGATATCAGACTTCTTAACAGTAACACCAAAGTTAAAAAAAAAAAAAAACAACTGAAACAATGCCTTCAAAATCCTAGAAGCCTATACCCAATAAAAATACCAATTAAGTATTACAGTAGACAATAGACATGTTCAGACATGAAAGTCTCAGAGAACTTGCCTTCTATGTGCCTATTCGCATAGGGCTACTAGAGTATGTACTCCATCAAAACAAATTAGTCAACTAAGAAAAAAATATATATATTGGGACTACCCAGACTGATAGTAAAGGGAGATCCTGGAACCAAGCTGTAAGCAGACCTTAAGAACAACAGTCCAGACAGGAAGAAGAGAACAGAGATTACAAAAGAGATGCCTCTAAAAGATAAAACAGATTACCTGAATACCTGATGTGTCTGAACATATTGACAGAGATATTCACTTCTGGCAGAAAATACAGAGAAAACTAAAATGAATTATTAGTTCAAAGAAACAAAATTTGAGTAAGTAAACACACTGTACGACATAGAATTTTGCCCTGCCTCACCTCTGCCTCTCTCAACCAACACTAAAATTCTCAGTGAGAAAAAACTGCTTTTCCCTTTGTCTTTATCTCTTTTTGTCTCAGATGCTAGGGTCTTCCTACAAGTCAGACCAGAACATAATCTAAAAAATTTTCCCTCAAGTGTCATCCTGTATATTTGACAGCTAATCAGGCTGCTCAATAGTTACTCTATACTAAAACATCTCACACGAACACCAAAAAGTGGAATTAAACTTAGTGATTCAAGGATTTTTTTTCTTTTTAGGGTCTAACTTAAGAATAGGGCTGTTTCAGGTTGAATGCAGTATGTAAATAAGCCTCCATTTTTAGCAAAGGTTAAATGAAACACAGCAGCCTGATATCCCTTAAAATTTCTTCAACGGGATCTGACTTGTACTTTTTAAATCAGGCAGTGAAGAAGAAATATTCAAATAGCAACTCAGATATATAAAGGCAATTTTGAAAGGATAGTCACAGCTTCATTTTGAACCATGAAACTGTGAAGCCCAATTTTCTGCCAAGTTTACTTTGGAAGCACAAGAGAAGGCAAAACACCCCAACCGATGACCACCTACCCTGTGAAAGAATTACTGAATTTCACAGGAGTCACAGCTCTCTTATGTCTTCTAGATTTGTTCTGTAAAGTGAAATTCTTGATCTACATTTCATCTTGTAGGTTCCAACACTCTTAAAAGTACTGTTCTAAGGGTGATGTTGTAGGGATACCTATAGATAGAAGAAGAGAAAAGGCCAATATAGACCAGTATATAGACAGAGATGGAGAGAAGAAAAGAAAAAGTGATGGATGTAAGAGACAGGGGAAAAAATCCTCACAAGCTGAAGACAATTATTGCTGAGGTATCTTTATGCTCAAAACGGTAAGCTTTAAAGAGATACCGCATGTCTGTTAGCATTCAGTCTATATGGCTATTGGGAAAAGTGTCAACCACAGAAGTGCTGACCACTACTCCTATATTTTTAATCAACAGAAAATGCTCTGAAAGTATATAAATCCAATGTAATATGTTAAATCAAAACCACCACTTCCCTTTTTGAATACACACCCATCCTCTCCTCTTACATCCTCTCAATATGTTAAAGCTGCCTCTATAATGCGACCAGAGATAAAAGCAGGAGTTACCTTCTGCTACCACCAATGCTGATGCCGTGATGTATCTATTCTCCTAAACAGCAAGTTTCCTCTTTACAACCTCTAGTCTTAATCTGGACCCTGGTGGTGCCGAGGTTAAGAGTGTGACTGCTAACCAAAAGGTCAGCAGTTCAAATCCACCAGCCGCTCCTTGGAAATTCTGTGGGGCAGTTCTATTCTGTCCTATAGGGTCACTATGAGTCGGAATTGACTCAGTGGAAACAGATTTGGTATTTGGTTTAGTCTTAATCTAAGCCTTACTTTACTATATTAAGGAAGTTCATGGTGATGGAATGGCAATAATATGAATTGACAAAACAGCTACATTGCTTATAACAGAATACTTTTTCCAGTCTACAAGAAAAATTTTAAGTCTACACATCTCCTTTGCTTTCTTCAAATCCTTCACTTATACTCTTCATGGATTGTTTACATTTTATTTCTAATGCAAATGATCATTTTCATTAAAATACAAACAGAATCATGATATTCCTGATGTTGGAACTTTAGATGCTGTCAAGATCATAGTCTCTTGGCATACACACAGTTTGCACAGAGGAAGCTCTTTACACATATTGTCAGAAATATCTCATGAGTTTTTATTTACTACTCAGTTGTAAGCTTTTCAGAAATGTTTTAATAAGATTCAGAAGTACTTAGTTACTTTCCCTCATTTAACCAGCATTCTTCCTTGATCTCCAGGATATCCCAGTTATACAGAAGGACCTTATCTATTCTTTGTACCTTAATGTCTGTTTGTTGGTAAATCTATGGTTTTTTTTTTTTTTTAATGGTTATGTTTATTGGTAAATTTAAATGACTTATTCTACTGACCTATTAGAACAAAAAGGAGCCCTGGGGGATGCAGTGGTTAAGCACTTGGCTGATAACTGAAAGGCTGGCAGCTGAATCCAGCGGCTGCTCCACGGGAGAAAGATGTGGCAGCCTACTTCCGTAAAGATTACAGCCTTGGAAACCCTATGAGGCAGTTCTACTCTGTCCTACAGGGTCACTAAGAGTAGTAATCGACTCAGCGGCAATGGGTTTGGTTTTTTTAGAGTAAATAAAGTATGGAACTTTTTTCTATCAGACTATTTATTGTATTTTCTTCTATCAGTCACTCAGACACTTGACTGATGCCCCTGCAAACTGCCTGGTCACTAGCATTCCAATTTTATTTGATACGGGCACTCTGTAGGAAGGACTACTGGGCTCAATTCCAAACTGTACAGGAAAATATTCAAATTTCTAAAACAGCTGCATGCTAAGGATAATAAAAATTTCCCAATATTTTCATTATTTACAATATAATTTATACATAAAAGAATTACATAATTACACTAGGCCATGGACCAATTTTCCCTTAAAAGTAGGTTAAAATACCTACCTATGTGTGTGTTTGTGATGTGTGTACAGAAATAATGAGTTTAAAAAGGTCAGGGACAGACGTTCAGTTCTCTCAAAAAAATAAAACATTTATATATATACATAGATAGATAGATAGGTATATCTCCATCCACCCCTGGGTGGTGCAAATGGTTAATGCAATAGGCTGCTAACTGAAAGGCTGGAGGTTTGAGTCTACCCAAAGGTGCCTCAAAACAAAGACCTGGCAATCTACTTCAAAAAATCAGCCACTGAAAACCCTACCCTGACATACGCAGCGCTGACATGAGTCAGAGTTGACGCAACAGTAACTGGTTTTTAATGCCAACTAATGATAGCAAAGGCGTCTTTGGGGAACCAGGGTTCCTAACTAGGTGTAATCATCAAGTTGT